GTGTGTGTATATATATATATATATGATAAAATTATACTTAACACTAATTAACATGTAAAATTATTTAAGCATTCAAAAATTTTATTGGCTACTTTTATATTTAATTTGTGATTATATTTTCTTCATTTTTTTTAACTTACCGATAGATTTGTTCACGTTTTTAACAAAAGTAATTTTTTATGAAAGTAGGATTGTTAATTTGAGTCCAACCCAATGGATTGGCCTGACTAGCCTACAAATATGGTCAGATTGAACTTAAAATAGATGACCTAAATAGATTAGATCATTTTGCTTTAACTCGCTAAGTCTGATAAGTCAAATAGGCTCGAGTCAGGTTGGCTTGTAAGCTTACAAGTTGATCCGTAAAACTAATAATTGAAATAATATAAATTAATAACAATATGTAATGTTTTATAAAATAGCATAATTAAATATAATAATACTACAATAAAAATAGTCTTTTATTTTTTTGTATTTGCATACGAAGTTGAAGTTACAAATTTAGGGTTAGAATTAGTCGTTGTGAGAGTTTTGTCGCTTCCATAATATCATTACCCCCTTGACTCATCATCTATATTCTATTTGTCAAAGAAGATGAAGATGTAGTCATGCTCACGCTTTTGCTCATAGAGTGACGATAATGACTCACCACCATTGTTGATACCACATAATTACATAGTATCACTTCACCTTATAAGAAACTTTTATTTTTCTTTAAAATATGATTTTTTCTACTTAGTTGTTCAAATATGTTTACCTAGCTAATAAGTCTTTCTTTGTTATGACATTTTTCCTATCTCATTCCAGTTATCATCTATTACTTTATTATCTATTGTTGGTGTTGTCCCTAACACTACAAGAAAATTGTCATATAGTGACACACACCCTATAGTGACACTATACATGTCATTAAAAATTACTTTTACCCATACAATAACTACGATATATGTTGGTATATTATTAAAAAGTGTAGGTATAGACTATAGTGACACACAAAATATGTTGTTAAATCTCATTCAAAATCAACACTAAAATTGTGCAACTATATATTAAATAGACATATACTTACATATATTATACTTATAGTGACATTTTTTGTATATGTCACTATATGTAACATTTCTTGTAGTGCTCCAACTCTTACCAAATACCAAGTATAATATGATTTTAAAAAAATAACCAAATTAGACTTTCAACCTCAAGGAAAAGAACG